CTCTCCCACGAGCCTTCAGAGCCTTGGCTTTCACCAGCCGAGTCTCGATAACCATAGCAGTAGGGGCAGATCCCTGGTGAAGCTGAGGACACTCGGCCTTCCGATGGCCGGTCTGGTTGCAATAGAAGCAAACCATGAATCCCTTGGGGCAATCCCTAGCGATGTGACCCTCCTTTCCACACTTGTAGCAAACACCTAATCGACAGGCCCCCTCATGACCCTTTCCGCACTTTCCACAAGTGCGGCCCTTCTGACCTCCCATCCTCGAATCGGCGGACTTGGTCCGCTTGGCTGCCAGCTGGGACTGAGCCAGCCGCCGATCCACCCGCTGAAACTCATCCTCCTCCCTGACCTGAGTCTCCAACTCGATCTCCCTCTTCCGGGCATTTTCCTGGAGCTTAGCAAAGGTCCGGTATGACGAGTTTGATACGAACTCCCGAATGTCCCTCCTGAGTACACCCAAATATCAACTCATCCGAGCCTGCTCAGTGGACACCTGCTCAGGGCAGAACATCGCCCTCTCATGAAACTTTCGGGTGATCACAGTAACTGAATCATTACCCTGCTTGAGGGTCAAGAACTCCTGAATCAATCGTTCCCTCTCCACCGGGGGAACATACTCGTCTCTGAACATAGTAGTAAATCCCTCCCAAGTCACAGCCAACACCTCCGCAAGAGTGAAGTTCGCCATCACGAACTTCCGCTAATCCTTTGCTCCCAGGCGGAGCTGGTTCAAAGCGAACTGTACCCTCAGATGCTCCGGACATGAACATGTGTAGAAGCATCCTTCAATATCAGCAATCCATTTCATCGCAGCGATCGGATCCTGCGTCCCGTCAAACTCGGGTGGCTTCGTGTTGCTGAACTCCCGGAATAGCAACGAGTCACCTCCCTGTGATCTGGCAGCAGCCACAGCTGCGGTAGCTGCAGTGGCTGCGGCCTCTGTCACCGCGGCGTACCGCTCATCGAAAGTGTCCATCAGTGTGGTCTTGATAGACCCAAACATTTCCGGAATCTCGGCCCAGATCGTCGCAGCCACCTCTTCGTGAATCATCTGACGAAGCTCCTCGTCACTCACACCGCTCGTCCCAGGTCTGTGGCGTGGCCCAACCATAATGCCTATGAAATACAACATAAAAATATCAGAGACTCAATCGAGCATAATCGCACTCGATAACGCAACCCTACTCGACCTCTGATACCCAAAGGATTCTTACTTGGGTTGCCCACTGACCCGGTGTCTTCAGTAGTACGGGCCCAATACTACCGACTACACCGCATCAGCATTCACCCCAAGTCCTCCTCCCTGGACCCCGGATCACGAGTACTCTATTCTTGCTATGCACTGACTACCTACTCGCTCTCAAAGTATCTCATAGCAGCAGGTTCCCCTAGACTAAGGCATCACAAATCAGGCCACACTAGTCCAAATATGAATACCTAGTCTACTCTAGCATGCATAACATATCATAATATATCTCATAACACATATTGTAAGGGTATTTTGGAGTTCAGTTACGCCCGAAGGTGCATCCGAATCCCTCAAACCAAGGCTCTAATACCAACTTGTAACAACGTAAATTTTCAAAACAATTTTTCATTTTTCAAATAACATAACCATCATTTAATATTCTAAAATCACATGTGTAACAAATGTCATTGTAACAAAATACATCCCATGATCATAAAACAGTTCCTTCGTCAGTGTGTACAAATCACGCCGGCGCCTTCCCACGGTCCTCGCTAGTACCTGAAACACATAACACAACAATTGTAAGCATAAATGCTTAGTGAGTCACCCAAAATACTACTTGCGCACATACGCCTTTCCAGGCCCTGACCTTCCGGTCCATGTGTCTCAGGGGACTTCCATCCTGACTCGGTAAACCTTCCGGTCCTACCTGCGTCAACCTTACGGTCCACATCCCAACGCCTTCCGGCCCATAACATATATGCCTTCCGGCCCATAACATAATGCCTTCTGGCCCATATCAAGCATAGCATACATAGCACATACTAACGATTAACTTATCATATACAATGCATACACTCATAACATATTCGACCTTCCGGTCACACAATAAAACCCTTCCGGGTACAGTATAGTGAGAAAACTCACCTCGTGGAAAGTCTAGAATCTCACGCGCTCGCTATCTCCGAATCTCGAACTAAGACTCGACCTCGCCTAATCATAACGAATATCATTTTAATTAATATAGACTTCCACAACTAGACTTTACCCTTATTAACATTCCTCAGAGGGGTAAAAGACCATTTTACCCTTCCTTGACTCAAAGTCCTCATGTTGACCAGAAACCTAAAAGTCAACATCCTTCAATACGTGGGGCATACAGACTAATGTACATGGGGCATACATCGCCAACCCAAAAGTCGGGGTCTCCACCCAGTACGCTGCACCTATTGGGAGTTACGCCCATCGTAATAGTCAGATTTAGACATTCTTCATTTCTGGTCTTAATCAGTTAAGCCACTTCTTCAACTTCCAGATCCAGCTTTATTTAAGCCTCCTTACTCATAAAGTCGAAACCTTTAAGCCTTGGCATGGCTGTAAAGGCTCTTACACTCCATAACACCTTCCATTTCAACTCAAGGATCTAGATCTCATGCATAGTTAATCATTCACGTCCAAGATTATTTTTATGAATCTACAACTCAAATGGACCAGAAATATGATGGATCTAAGCTAATGGAGACCACTTGCTCATAAAGTCTCCACCTTTGGGACCAAAACCCTAGAAAATGGTCCATAAAGCATACCACAAGAACTACAAGCCAAGATCCGAACCTTTTACCTTTGAATGAAGCTCCAACTTTTGCTAAGCACGGATCTACACTTGAACACCAACATCTAGCCTTCATAATGGACTCCTCTTCTCCTTTGCTACCTTGAAATGAAACCACCAAGCTTAGAACACTCACAAATGAGCTAGGAACGAAGGAACACTCTCTTAGGGTTTCTTTCTGAGGGATGGTGGCTGAGGAATCAAGTCATCTCATTCCTTTTATAGCCAGCCACAAAATTTAGGGTTTTTGGGTCTGGACCAGTTACGCCTAGTGTAACCTTGGGTACGCCCAGCGTACCCGAGGGAGGATGCGTATAAATGAAGCGCGCGAGTACGCGCAGTGTACTCCTTGTACACCAGCGTACTCACCCAACATAAAAGCCCTAGAATGATAACAAATTAAAGATGAAGGGCAAATAAAAGGGTACTTGGATTTCGGGCTGTTACACTATTTTAAACGGAATGTTACAACACCATCATCTTCAAGATGCATACCCCGTTTGGTGTTACCCGTAGTATGTTGACTTGGGTTAGACTTTTTGGTTTTACAATGTTATTATCGTTTCCCTAGCATAAGAAACAAATATGGTTCATTAATACGTGTTGCATAAACTAATGCATATTTCATTAGATTTCTAAACAATCGGGTATGGAAACTAATAGAGGACGAAATACCAGCGATGCCCGTAGCTACATTGACTAATGAAGAGTTAGGCACAACCGGCTACGATCTAGAAGCTAAGAATATCGTGAAGGAGAAAGAAATGTGAAGAACTACTCACTAAGCAATGGCAAACAAAGAGACACAGTAGCTCAACTGATGGTAGATGGATAAATCTTTTGAAGAAACATGCGGCCGATTAGGGATTGGTGCTCATAGGTTTCTCAACCGTGTGACGATATTAGGAGTCGATTTAGTTTTCTTTTATTTTGTTAATAAAGCCTAGAATACAAATGGTATTTTATCCAATTTAAATATACTATAATAAGTATATAAATGTTATTGTACCCATTTTAAATATACTAAAATAACTACATAAGGATAAGAATACAAATTCTACAACCATAAAAAGAGATCAAACTTAATTCTACAATGGAAAAATGACTCTTGAGGGTAATTAACTTTTGCGTTTGTACTCATTTGGTCCATTTCCTTTTTTGTATTAAATATACCATCGAACTTGTTGTTTGTGTTCACCATAACCCTTTTGACCTGTGATAGCCGGTCAAAGGGTTATGATGAACACAAACAACAAGTTCGATGGTATATTGAGTATAAAAAAAAGGAAAGGGACCAAATGAGAACAAACTCAACAGTTGGTTACCCTCCTGAGTCATTTTCCCTTTACTTATTTACAACAAATCTCGCGTCATCTCCTACTGATATTAATGATTTTATGAGATTCATTCTTGCTTCTCTTCAAAACATAACCCACGAAAAAACATTATTCATACTGTACAAATTTGTAATTCACTTGAATATTTATTAGGGGAATCTTGACTAAGCTAACGCATTTCATAACTACATTTACATTTTCAATCGAATGATTTATCGGATCATGGATTTTAGACAAGTTTACAAACGAGTGGAATCACAAGTGCTGTGATTTCTGAGTTTACTTAGCTTTTAAGATCAAATTCATGGGATGAGATACAAAATCAATATGTACAATATCATGCTGCTTTTACAGACACATCATAATATACATTAAGGTAAACATTTATGTTGATAAATATACCTCTCATACACAATCATATGCTTTTGAAGAAAGGTGTTGACAGTTAACCACAGTAAGCATATCATAGACCACGTTTTAACGAAGTTACCCCTCTGAAACGCTCTTCATATACGTTATAGCCAAAGAAGGTTGTAGTCTTTAATAATTTTACAACTTTAATTTTATTTAACTTTTCGGGGAATAGGACTTACGAGGGTAACCAACTGTTGAGTTTGTTCTCATTTAATTATTTTCCTTTTTTGTATTGAATATATTATCGAATTTGTTGTTTATATTCACTATAACCCTTTGACCGGCTATCACAGGTCAAAAGTCGATCAAAAGGGTTATTAAATAATATAAGGTGGGTAGGTTTTTTAACCCAGCCCGGTTCGGTATTTATGGGTAAGTTTATATAAAACCAAACCAATAATATTGGTTTTTTGGTTTTTGCTCGTCCCTAATTCAAAGAATAGATCAAGAAATTATTTTTTATTAGCAAATACCCTCAAAAGTCAAAATCCATGGTTTGGATCCAGAAATCCAGATAATGACCAGGTACGAATGTCAAACATGTACGTAACATTAACATTAGCTTCAACATGAAACAAAAAGACAATTTTTTTAACCAAACTGGTGATGGAAGCTCTCTGTCTTCTCTCCAATTTCTACATGCATTACCACAATACAATCCAACGAGACCTGCCACAAGAAGAAAGCAAATTCAGTTAGTATGTTATTCAAGTACTTGCTTCTTTTTTCCAATTTAGTAGCTGTCTAGATAAATGATATTTAAAAGATAATTTGAGAAAATGATGGAATTAATGCAAAACTGTTGAAAATTAAAACTTATGTCTTTTTTTGTGCATTAAGTCGGAAAGAAAATTTTATATAGATTTCAAACCAAGCAACATCAACTGTTGGTTTTTGCAGTTTCAGTCTTTTTTGAGGTCAAACCTAAATTGCTTAGCATCAATTGTATGAACATACTTTGTTTCTCCCTTGTATCAATTTCACCATTTTTTATTCTATGGGACAAGAATGGACAAGCTTTCTAGGGTTATCTTTCGATTCGATGGTGAGAGTGAGAATAAGGAGGACAGACATTAAAGTCTTTTGCACAGAGAGTGTGTCGAAGCCCCAGTCCACTTCGGGATTCTTTGAGCTCAACCACTTAAACATATCCCCTGACATGTCTTTTAATATGAAGTCATGTTTCAAGTGTCAAAGTCAACATATTCAAGCATATGATTAAATAACTGTCATGAATTCATACTGGCTTGGAAGTTGCATAATGCATAGAGTCTTTAAGTTCATGTATATGTATTGTAGGACAGCTGTAAGGCTTTTAGAACCATGTAATTGGTTGGAAATTTAAAACCATGTAATATATTATTATGTGTTTGTAAAACTTAACTAATGATGCCATTATGTTTCATTTGGGTCCATGTTTGGAGTATCATAATTAGTTGAAAGGATCATAATTAGTTGTTCGTGTTGTTCGTACTATGTTCATCAAGTTGTATCTCTTTAGTCTTTACCCACATGTAAAGTTGACAAATGTTGTTTCTTTTTTACTTAACAGAGACAAGACCTAATCCAGTAATATATATATATATATATATATATTACCGGATTAGGTCTTGTCTCTGTTAAGTAAAAAAGAAACAACATTTGTCAACTTTACATGTGGGTAAAGACTAAAGAGATACAACTTGATGAACATAGTACGAACAACACGAACAACTAATTATGATCCTTTCAACTAATTATGATACTCCAATTTGGGTATTTCTTTTTGACTTAATGCATAAAGAATGACTTGGTAAGGAAATCCTGGGAATTAAGTCCGGACATTTTACAGTTATTTCATCGGGGTTTTTTTTTTCATTTCTCCAAGTATGCCATCATTTTCTCAAATATCATTCAACACTTAACAGGGGAAAAAGTTGAAACAGGGCTTGATTTGTATAATGAGATGACTACCAATGTTTTGTAAATCCAGTTGTATCAAAAATAATTCATCAACACATAAAGAAAACAATTCCAATCCGAAGCACATTCAAGCCAATTTTCAGCAGTCTGAGAATTATCCATTGCTAAACTCTATTGATGTTCATAATATCAGAGTGATTGCATACCTTCTGGGACTGCTATTGGTCTATCAATCAACCCTACTGAACAACTACAATTGATATAAGCCACAGCCATGTTACACGGCAAGGCACAAAAGACCAATCAATCAACCCTAATAAACAATTAAGAGTAAAAGATTTCATGAAAAGATACCTTAAGAAAGAAATCACTCCACGCTCTGAACCTTAGGACCTGTAAATTACCACAAATCAAACACCTTGATGTAAGGACACAAAGAAAAACGGATGATAAACCGAGAGAAAATAGAGATTATCAAAAGTTGCAGAGGACGGACCGTGCTGATCTGGATGACGACCATCTTTACCCCATCCAATACCACGAGTTGAATCAAGGTATTGCTCGACAAGGTGACGACACTTCTGGAGGTGATTGACCCCTTCAATGCGATAGCACCATCTGAGCTTATCACGGATTATCTTGGAGGTCTCGATGTCGATCCATTTCTCCCTCACAAGATGCTCGCGCATTTCGAGCATCGCCACTGGATCCTTGTAGGGGTTGGCCGGATCGAAGTCCGGCGGTTGTTCGTCAAACACCACTTCCTTCTTTCTACCCATCTTTCGAATGTCGCTCTCTCGCTCTCCAAACCTCGTTGAGAAGGTAATATCGGCTGGCTGCGAGTGTGTTTTGGCCTTTTGGGGTTTGGTATTTGGGCAAAACAGGTAGGTTTTGGCATTGTCAATTTTGAATTTTAGCAATTTTAACCCCTCGTTAACTTTTCAAACATTTAAAAGTAATTTTTTTTGTATATTTTATTTTTCTGAGAAGATAACCATAAAAATAGATATGAGTTTATTAACCAAAAAATTAAACCAATACCGATCGGTAGTATTCGGTTTGATTTTCGGTTTTAGTTTACGATTTATTTGGTTTTCAGGTATTTATTTCTAGTTCAGTTCAAAATATGTTTTCATTCTTATATAATGGTAACATGTGTCTAACAAATGCTTGAATCTACAAAAACAATGGTACTAATATTAATTAAATTATAACAAATATATATACATATTACAAAATTATCTTACCATACATCCTAACATCACGAAACATAATTCAAATATATGCATCATATTATTCTTGATTCTTGTTAGGTTGACAAATCTTTGTTCGTGAACTTCATCCAATAAACTTATTTTCAAACACGTTGATATAACTCAAATAAGTTGACAAAATATGATTGGACACTGAGTATAATGAACCATATTTGTAGGGAAAAAAAGGGAAATATCATCATAGTTTATAAATTCACTGGTGAAATGATAATTCTTAATAATATTAAATATCTAAAATTCGTAGTCAAAATGTATATTTTCATAGTCAAAGTGACATAAAAATTCAATTGTGAAATAACAAATTATTGGTGAAATGAAAATTCATTAGTAACATACTCCGCCAACCACTATGAACCGATAATATATAGTATGTAAAATGTCATTTAGAAGCTTATTGTGATTGTGGAAGTTCTTTGATTGAATCTTCCAAATGGCATGTTGTGATAGTGAAAATGAAGCGGTTATAAGTAGGGATATAAACGAACACGGACGAGGGTTTGTTTATGTTCATTTGTTTAAGTTAGATGAACAAATAAGCGAACACGAACGATTAAATAAACTAGTTGTCTTGTTCAAATCGTTTGTTTAACAAATTACATTGTTCATGTTCGTTAGTTTATGGTCATGAACATGCTAAACGAACAAAAATAAACAAACATACTTGAACATATATGAACAAATATCAACATATAATATAGTAATATCATAAACATGTAACATACCAAAATCATAATACAAATTTTCATTTTCAAATAAGAAGAAACCATTGTTTTCAAACAAAACCCAAAACAAAATCAAGTATAAAGTACAAATATCCCAAGATCAGTGTATTATAAATATCCAAGAGCATGTCATAGAAAAATGTGTACGTTCACGCCTTCGCCTTGCCACAATCATCTGAAGTACTTGAAACATGAAACTGAAAACCATAAACAAAAGCTTAGTGAGTTCCCCCAAAGTATCACCACACAGACATATAACAACATGTACACTGGGTTTGCAGCTAACGGATTGGATTACCCCTAGATCCACAACATGATTGTGGCTTGTCTTTCAGCCCACAACTCATGTTTGGCTTACTCCTGAGCCCACAACATAAGTCTGGATTGCCTCCCGGGCCCACAACTTATGTCTAGCTTACTCCCCGGTTTGTTGGCTTCCGCACAAAGCAGTATCGCCTCAACCCAACCAAACTATGTTGACATATACATATAAAATAACATATCTCCAATAAACAGATAATCACATAACCAGTCAACAGACTAACAGGCAGATCTATAGATCACTATCACATAACAATATCTTATATACTAGGAACCAGTCCTAACAGATCAATACAACATAGCAACACCCTTAAAACTAGGATACATAACCAAGTGGGTCGACATTGGTGCCTTCGACCCACGAGTACAGTGATGAAAACTCACCTCTAAATCCAGAAAGATAGTTGAACAGGACAACACTCTGAATATCATCTTTACCAGTCACCTATACATCAAATAATGACCAATCTCAGCTACAACTAAAAATACCCAAAATACCCTTAGGTCAAATTCTTGGTTAAAGTTGAAAGTCAAAAAAGTCAATCCAAGTCAACTCAGCTGAGTACGCCCAACGTACTCAACATATACGCGCGGCGTACTAGAGGCTTGACAAAAAAATGGGTTGCTGACCACGTACACACAACATACTCCAGCATACGCCTAATGTACGTGCCAACCAAGTTCTTCTAGTAAGGGCTTAATCATATAAGCCCATTCGTCCAAAATCCATATCTAGTCCTAATATAACCTCTTAAGTCATATAGTTTCCAACTTTATGACTTTGCATGGTTAGGAAGTGCTCAATACTAAAAACCCTAACTTATTAACTTATTAAGACATTGTAACCCATTCATGGAAAAAAACTAATGACCAATATTGCATTTTTATAACCTTACACACTCCAAAATATCTGGAAGGACCATCCATTTAGGTCAAGAGCATGTCATACTCAAGAACATCATTGATTAGGGACAAAAGAACATAATAACATCATACAATCTAGATCTAACCAAATAGGTATCAATGTATAAACTTTATACCTTCTAGAGATGTAGGAGGGTGCAAAACTTCCAGATCCAAGGTTGCTCCAAGCTTCCAAGATATTATCCTATCCTTCCTTTATTAACACCAAAACACACACTAATGGCTCAAGGATGCTGAAAAATGGATTAGGGTTAGCTAGGGTCGAATATGTAGGTGGAGGCTGAAGAATGAAGATGTTTCAAAGAGTTAAGGATGCTTAACTAGGGTCCAAAGCCTAAAAATTAGGGTTTAACCCCTAACTACCTACGCCCAGTATATGCAACATATGCCTAGTGTATGCAACGTACATCCAACATATGTATACAACCTCTATTTTTCATTAAAAAGTCATTTGGGACCAAATTTGCAAACAATTGTCATATCAAGGGTCAAAATGCAAAATACCTCCCCCCCCCACTTGATTCAAACTTCATCCTTAAAGTTTGCTACTGTGAACAACTTTGGGTAATGTTCCCATATCTCTACCTCGGGTTCCTAAGTTCATTCAAAACCCTTCTATTGTTGTCATCGGACCTTGACCAAAGATACCACATTGTTGTGCAAGGCCTTCGTCTTCCTATCCATGACCACCACTAGTCTCTCAACATTATTCATGCTATCATCAACCTGAATATCCAAAGGAACAATCGTTGAATCATCAGTCACACATTTCTGAAGCTGAGAAACATGGAAGGTGTTATGAATCTGACCGAGCTCCTTAGGCAAATCCAACCAATAAGCTACCCTACCAATCGCTTAAAACGACCCAATATATCGGGGGCCCAATTTTCCCCTCTTCCTAAAGTGTGTTACACCCTTCCAGGGTGATACCTTTAGTAGAACCATATCGCCGACCTGGAACTCCAATTCCGATCAGCGCCTGTTACCATAACTTTTTTGTCGACTCTATGTTGTCTGCAACCTCTATCTGATCTGTTGAATAAGCTCTGTTGTCCGAAGGACTACCTTAGTCCTTCCCATAAGTTTGTAACCGACCTCCCCCTAGCAAATTGTGGTACGACACTTCCTCCCTTAGAAAAGCTTGAATGGGAGCGCACTGATGCTAGAGTGATAGTTGTGCTTATATGAAAACTCACCTAAGGGAATGTAGGAGTCCCAACTTCCACCGAAATCGATCACACAGGCTCACAACATGTTCTCGAGTGTTTGGATGGTCCTCTCACTCTAACCGTCACTCTACGAATGATAAGCAGTGCTAAAATGCAACCTCGTACCTAGTTCCTAGTGGAAACTCTGCCAAAACCACGAGGTAAACCAAACATCCCTATCTTAACCAATAGAAACCAGAACAGCATGACGGTCAATAATCTCGCGTACATACAAATCAGCCAATTTCTTGGCTGAGGAACTCTCTCGAATAGTTAAGAAGTAGGCACTCTTAGTCAGACAACCCACTATTACCCAAATCGATTCGAACGCCTTAGCCGTCCTAGGTAGCTTGGTGATGAAATTCATGGTAATATGTTCCCATTTCTACATGGGAACCTCCAAAGGATGAAGCTTGTCATGTGGCCTCTGGTGCTCGGCCTTAACCATCTTACATGTCATGTAGCTCTTAATATACCAAACTATCTTCCTCTTCATACATGATTACCAGTAGCTAAGTTGCAAATCCAAGTACATCTTGGTAGCCCTAGGGTGTATTAAAAATTTGGACTTGTGTGCCTCTTCCAGCTAGTCTGCCTAATCCCACCAAAATCCAGTGCCCAAACCTGACTAAAATGGGTCAATAATCCACGACTATTGGTGGAAAACATGTCAATCTCGCCCCCTGATGCTCTCCTATTTCAAATGCTCCTTCTTGACCCCCTTGACCTGCGCCTCCCTAATTAAATCTAGAAGTGACAAATCAATTGAAATCCACATACATAAACTCCCAACCAAGGAACTAACCAACTTGTGGCTCAAAGCGTCAATGACCACATTTTCCTTCCCTAGGTGGTACATAATCTCGCAGTCATAATCCTTGACCACGTCAAGCCACCTATGTTGTCTCATCTTCAGATTCGACTGATCCATGAGATATCTCAAACTCTTGTGATCCGTGTAGATAGTACACCGGACCCCATACAGATAATGCCGCTAAATCTTAAGAGCAAACACCACCGCTCCCAACTCCAAATCATGTGTTAGACACCGAACCTCATGCAATTTCAACTCCCTCGAGCATACACAACAACCCTCCCCTGTTGCATAAGAATTCCCCCCCCCCCCCAGAGTGGTGATGAACGCATCACAAAGTACCTTAAAACCCTCAATACCCTCAGGGAGGGTTAACACTAGGGCCTCACATAACTTCCACCTTAGAGTCTAGAATGTAGCCTATGGCTCAGAGCCCAAGAGAAAATCCACCCTTCCTCGTCAAATGAGTAAGGGTACGGAAACCTTGGAGAAATCCTTAGCGAATCTTCGATAATA